GAGCAGTGTACCCCTGTATTACAGCAAACCTTTACAGTGGGATTTGCTGCCATATGGAAGAGGAAATGGGAGATGGCTATTGACTGTAAGTAGACTCTGAGCTGATTCCTTTTCAGTTGTCAGTGTCTTACTCTTTAAACACACCTGTTTGATAGTATTCACTGTTTTTGATGTACAGTTTTATGGATTTTAATACATACATATATATTTTTTCTAGCACCACCATACCTTGATACAGAAAAATAAGAATATGGCAGGGAATTGGTTTTTAATCAGACCATCCCTTACCTTTGAATTCTAGCATCCATTACTTTGTCCTTTGCTTCAATCTTCTTGTTTTATTCCCTCCACTACAATAGAATGTCATCTTAATGGGATCATATGGGACTAGACAGCATTTCATTTCCTTGTGCATCAAGTTTTCATGAGTTTGGGCCAAATTGATGGCACCTGGCTTTTTGAGATTGGCTTCTTTCACTTAGTCCAATGCCTTTGAAGTTTAAGCTGTTATTTATAGCAATAGTTAATTCCTTTTGTTGATAAGTAGGGTTCTTTTATATGGATGCACCACAATTAGCTTATCTATTTACCCATTAAAATGTATTTGAGTTATTTCCAACTTGCGGCAACTATAAAGTGTGTGAATATAAGCATTCATCTGCAGCTTGAAATAAAAAATGTTGGTTTTAAGGACAGCTACAAGAATGAAAATATAACAACAGCCTGGGAGAAAATATTTGCAAATCATATATCTGAGAGAGGATTTATATCCAGAATGTATAAAGGTGATTCTCGAATTATATAAGAAATTGCTTGCCTTCAAACAATGAGGGGCATATTAGGGAAATTTAATAGTGATGTAAGCCAGCCGGGATTATATTTTGTTCTGAAATGAAATAAGAGGAAGGTTATACCATGGACAGAATAGCAATGTATAATAATATAGAAATTGGAAAGATGCCTAAATGTGGGCAGGCTAGATTATGGTAGATCTATATGTATGAAAAAAAAAAGCCAGATATTTAATGCAAAATTTTAGCAGAGGGGAGAAAGAGGTCATTGCATTTATAGGGCCACCGAACACATTTAAGACAAGGAGAAAGTCTGAGCCTGAGCCCTGGCATTTGGAGAACTTTAGATGTGGGAAGGCAGGTCACAGAAGTGATCAACCAAAATGCCATTACTCACAAAATATGTGGGAAGGAAGGACATGTGATTTCCTGGTTGTCTTAAGGCCAAACATATTAATGGGAACCAGAGAAAGGAATGGAAACTTGAACAGAATGAAGTCATCCATCATTGGATGCTCCTATGATCAGGCGATGTTAAAGGCTCCGGGAACTCGCACAGAAAGATCCGTGAGAGGACGCAGAGCGAGAAGGCTTTGATGAAGGCGGCGGGGAAGGAAGAGGATAAAGAAGAAAAATGCACAAGTGAGATTGTGGCTGTGGGTGTGCCTGGAGGCAGCAGCCCCATTTCTGAGGCTGCGGCTCAGGACAAAGATAGAGACACTTCAGGGCTGGTTGCTGGAGGAGGGGAGGGGGGGGAGGGAGGAGTCCATATAGAGAAATAGAGAGCTTGCTTTTCCCTCAGAAGGAACTGTCTCCTGGAAATCTAACCCTGGCGATCACCTTCCTTTTTGAGATGTTTTCTAAAAGTACACTAGGCTCATAATGTGATTCCTTTCTCTGGAGTTCTTCTGGAAACCACAATGTAAAGAATTCTAAGGAGGACACCATTTTCCCTAAAGGATCCATGTCATAATTAGTGGTCAAAACCTTTGACATGAAAACAACATGTAGTAACAACAAAAGTAATGGTAGGTGATAGACAGTGGAATTTAATAGGGAGAACATATAATGTGAAATAGAAATAATAAAATGAGCACTTCAACCCAAAGCAAGTTTCACTTAAAGTGACCCAGACCAAGTAGCATAGCTTCCTTGAAGGCAAGAGACCTGAGTTCACATGCTTCCTTGTGGTCATTTTGCCAGATTGTGATTGAGAAATATGTATGCAAGCTTAAAAAGAAGAAAAAGCAGAGGTGTAAGTACAATTAATAATAGGATACCATTTAAAACCGATCAGAGAAGAAGAAATAAGGCTATACAGACATTGACGACAAAATAAAATAACAGACAGGGATCTCCAAAAGTTCATGGAAATTTTCCATTAGCTCTCAGTTTCATTTTTTCCATGAACTTTTTGAAGTTCATATGCTAATAATAATAGATTTTATATATATACACACACAAATACACCTATCTTTATATATTTTTATATTTGCATATATAGTTCTACCTATATATAATTTTTACTTTCTTGTTCTTAACTCTTTCTTTTTTTCTTTCTTCCTGCCCCACTATCATGTTTACCCATCATTCACCTCTCAATAATTCCTCTCTGATACATTTCTATTGATCAAAGATGACCTGGAACGCTACATCCTCCTCACCATCACTTTTAGATACCTTGCCATTCTCCTGTCCTGGTCGTTATTGGCTCATGCTCCTCTTCCCCCCACTTTCTCCTCTGCCCTGTCCTCCCCTATCTCCACGCCACCCCCCAGAACCTTTGGTCCTGTTGCCATCTCCTTGGGATTGTTTATCCTGCCTATCTTATATAGAGAGACACCCAAAGAGAAAGAAAACAAACAAACAAAACAAAATGGAATCCCTGAGGGTACAGAAAGAGAGGGGTGGGGAACTGATAGCACTGATCACGGTATAACCCCAATCAAGGGGAACGAATAACACAATGGCAGGTGAACTGATGCATTGCATGGTGTAATGCATGGGGGAACAAAAGGAATAACAGTAATAAAAATAATATTTAATACCAAGGGTTCTTGGGGGGTATGGTGGGGGAGGGCGGGGAGAATGGGGATATTAAAGAGTGCAAGAAGAAAGAAATGCTTTGAAAATGATGATGGCAGCAAATGTAAAATCATGCTTGACTTAATTGAACTATGGATTGTGATAATATCTGTAAGAGCTCCCAATAAAAGTGGGAAAAAAGAATAGAAAGAAAGAAAATCATTATTCATGGTGAATACCTGCCAGACTTGCTTGGCTCCATAATCAATTTTCACCGAAGTAGTCATCAAGAAATCAAAGGCTGTTGGCCAAATCTGTGGCACCAGACATTTTAAAGTGTTGACGACCAAGAATGCACGTGCGGATGTAAGGTGAGCCTTACTCAAACCATGGTATTTTTGATAACTTCATAATCATGTGAAAGTTGGACAATGCATTTGAATTTTGGAGCTGGTGAAGAGTACTAAAAGTACTATAGACAGCTACAAGAACAAACAGATCTGTCTTAGATAAGTTATAGCCAGAATTGTCCTCAGAGGTCACGATGGTGAGACTATGTCTCATGAACTTTGGGCATGTTATTGGGAGACACCAGTCTCTGGCAAATAAGTGTTTTGTTGCGGCGTCCACAGAGTCACTATGCGTTGAAACCAACTTGATGGTGCCTCACAACAAGACTTCCAGAGTAGAGGGAGCAGAGGTGGGAGAATAAAGGGAACAGAGGTGGAGAGTAATAGGAAAGGCCAACTGTCAACAACCTGTAGAGCCCCCTCTGTCATATTTGAAAGGTTTATTGATGTAACTTAACTTAAACAGCATGAGATAAAAATAGTATATGAAACTTCGTTAGGGAGGAAAACAAACATATCTGAAGGAACACTTAAATTTAAATTTAGGTGGATTGGTAGTAATTTTGCTTTATTCTGAGTAGTTAATGTGCCAGGGATAGCCTGGTAGTTGGAAAGACTAGGACGATGATGATACAGAACAAAGTCTGTATTGGACATGTGTCTTAGAAGAATCTTTAGTCTACACCACCTATGGTTTTCCTTCTTTTGATATTTCTGGTCAGCATCAAAAAGTGTGAACATGTGGAACTTCAGCTGAACACTTTTGATTTGGACCCATGTAAATCTTCAATAGCTGTACTATTCATTCCTCTGGAGAAAAACAGCTTGCATTAATAATGAGAGAAATGCTCCTTCTACTGCCAATATATTCCTTTTATAAACACATAAGTGCCCTAAAAGATTCCTGAGTTCATTTTCTATTGTTTAAATTTTACACACAAAGGACTTTAGTGTTATTTTTAACTCTATTAAACAGGCCAATCCCTAGAGCAGTGATTCTCAACCTTCCTCATGGCGGACCCTTGAATACAGTTCCTCATGCGGTGACCCCCAGCCATAACATTATTTTTATTGCTATTTCATAACTGTCATTTTGCTACTGTTAGGAATCAGACGACCCCTGTGAGAGGGTCGTTCTATCCTCAATGGGGTCGTGACTCACAGGTTGAGAACCTGCCCCAGAGCCATGATTCCTCCAAAGATTGTTAGACCTGGATGAACTTGGGAATTGCCCAATCTAGTTTTTTCCCTGCAACATACACTTTCCTCTTTCACAATGCTATGGATAGCCTAAAATTAAGCAAAACCAAATCTGTGTGGGAAGAAGAGCCAGCATGATCCTTAGAAGTGAGGCTCATGAGACTGTTTCAAATACTTTGGGCATGTTATCAGGAGGGACTAGCCCCTGAGAAGAACATTATTCTTGGTAAATGATAGGAAGGCCCTCCGCCAGATGGTATGACACAGCAGCCATGAGAATGTGTTCAAACGGAGGACTTGTTAGTACAGCAGTGGAGCGGGCAATATTTGGTTCTATTGTCCATAGGGCTGCTATGAGTTTGAACCAGTTTTATGGCACCTAAGAACTAAGATCAAAATGCATGGCCATCCCACCCACGGGGAACTGGTCTTGACTCACAGTTACTCTGTAGCACAAAGAAGCAATTTCATATATGGTTTCCAAGTCTGCATTCTTTATGGCAGCGGTATTGTAGGTTGGAGCAGCCAACCGGTTAGCGGCCAACTACTTAGCCAATGCATCACAGGACTCCTGGAAGGTGCAGTTGGGGGTGGTATAATTGCAGGAAGTTTTCTCTCTTAAAAAAAAATAATAAAACATACTTACAATCCCATGATCATGAAGGTGGTTTTCCCAGGGTGAGGCTTTTCCATTGAACTTCGGATGTGCTGACCCCTGCGATTTCCCCAAACGTGGGAAACTCCACTGCATGATTTGTGGAAGTGGGGGACTGCGAGCGCGCTCTCCCCTGATAAAAAAAAAAAATAAAGCAGATATTTCTTGACATCAACATTCTATTTCTATATTTAAAATATGCTGCCAATTCATCACCAAAATTAGATTTGATAAATGCTGTTATATACTTATTCAAATCGAACTATGATAAGGATATTAATAAGGAAGCTATGGGGTGGTGGCGAGAGAAGGAGCAAAAAGAGCTAAAATTAAAAAAAATTCAATTCCCTGTTATCTATAAGTGTAAGTCTGCTCTTAAATTTTAGGTTGTTAAGGATTTTGTGTCTTTACTTCTGATGAAGGGACTATAAAACAGGACTTTGAAAAGAAATCTTCCTAACTTTTCTGAAGATAGTCTGGGAAGGAACAATCTACTGTGATTTTTAAAGGGATTTTTCAATATTGAAAATTCAGTTACTAACACATTTCATTTACTCAGTGGAGAGCTTACTACCTTCTGTTACTATATGGACTATTGCTTTTTTGAATAATAATTTTTGTTTGATGAACACCAACAGTATGATTGTGGGCTAAAGACTGAAAAGTTAATAGCCCTAGTCAGGAAAATTATGGATTTAGCTAGAAAATTCAAACATTTGGAGGCCCACTTGTGTGTGGAGGATTCATCTAATTTTATCATTATAGTAGCTCTGAAGTAGGTAATTTTTCCTACTTACAGTGAATAAAACCCAGACTTAGAGAGGTGAAGTGATCCTATCACACACTTTCAGAAACAGGATTAAAGTTCAAATATTCTGACTTTAACTCCAATGCGCTTTCTATGATTTCATAACATCACATAGTGAATGTGGGGAAATACATTATGGTAGTTACTGCAGGCTTTACTTCTTTAGAGGGAAGGTGATTGAATCTTCTTTTTCTCTTGGTTCTTCAAAAGACTTAAACCATACAGAGACATTTTCTCCCATAACCTGATGAATATATTATGGATAAAACATTTCATATTTTAGTGAATGTGAATCAAAGTCAAGCAGAACCAAGTGAGGCTTTGGAGACGGGACTAAAACATAACAAGACCGTCAAATGACCTTACAACAGGCTGAGTCGTTTTAACAGATTACATTATAAAATGACCATCTCTGCTAAAGATAAGATGACCATTCTGATGTATCTGATAGGACTCCTCAGGTCTCGGGAAAGAATTGTTTCCCCCCAAGGGCACTAGAACTGAGGGCAGAGACCCAGAGACATCAGGATTCTCTATCCAATGACCCTTGTTACATCATTTTGCAACTTACCCCACCACTTAAAAAAAGTAACAATTTCTGAGGTAGCTACATGTTCCTAAATTTTTGAGAAAATAGAATTTTCTGGGGTTCCTGACTTTTGTACAGATTACACATATTGAGTTCTTGGGGTTCTTCCTTTTGCATCCCCAGCATCTGCCACAGTCTTTTAGAGAGGACTCCACTGACCCCTCTTATGCAGACATTGTTTACAGCTATAATGGACTTCACAACTCTGCCGAGAAGCTGGTGAAAACAGCATCATTTTCAATCTTTTAAATGGCTTTTAGGTTTATGTTAATAAATTCTGAATCCGTAGTTCATATTTTTTGGTTCAAGCACATAATTCTTCTCATTTTGTTTATAGTCTCTAGAGTCTTAGCATAAAATGCTACTTTCATCACTCTAAACCCTGAAGAAAAATTACCTGCCAGGTTGAATTAAAGGAGTTTCCTTTTTTAAATGTTATATATATATAAAAAAAAAACTTCTTTATTGAAGTGGCAAACAAACCCCAGAAGGTTTGTACAGATGTGGTAAACATGTTCACAGGAGAATTACAAAAAACAATAGAATTATCTGCCTAAACATATTTTCACTCAAATTCTACTTTCATATGTGAATATTCTGTTATGCACTGTGTTATAAATAAAGACTCTGGAAAACACACACTCCACAGTAATGTGGTTTTATATATAATTTATATAATTCTAGTCTCATTCTGTTTCTTGGCTATGTAATCCTGTATGAGTCATTTAACCTTTGTATCTCATGTTTTTTTTGTCCATAAATGAGGAGAGTAATATTTGCCTCTCCAGCATTACCGACTGATTTAATTACACTGTACTTTTTTCAAAATGAATATATGGGACCTCATGACACTGCTTGTATAGCTCCTTCTATTGATCAATACCATTGCCAGCACAAGTAGTGACATATCAAATAGAGGTATTTTAATTTTATGTGAAAATCAGCTTAATAAAGTCAACAGTTGTCCGTGATCTTGCATAAACGGGAATTGAATATCCATGATGGGGTTGGGACAGAACTTTTAACTTTATGCTGGACGAATATCACTTAGGGTCCTGTGTTTTGTTGTGAAAGGTTGACTTTAGAGGCATCAATCGAATGAATGGTGGTCCTGGTTGGCACAAGCAGGTAAGAGCTTAACGACTAGCCAGAAATTTGGTGATTCAAACTCACTCAAAGGCACTTGGAAGAAAGGCCTGGTAATCTGCTCCCAAAAGGCAATAGCATTGAAAACCTTATGGAGTACTGTTCTACTGTGTAACGCATGGGCTTGCCATGAGTAAGAATCAATTTGATAACAAGTGATCATGCAGTCGCACGGAGGAAGGGTCAAAGCTGTACAACAGGCATGGTTTTGGTTCATCCTCTAAGACCAAGCATGCATGAACTGGAGTTTATGCTTGGAGAACGAAAGAATTAGAGACTTGATAGCTGCTTTTGATTATTTGTGGTACAAGAGGGCTTCAAAAGGTTCAAGGAAGAGTGGAATGAAAAGGTAAACATTAAAACTATAAACTTTATTTCTCAACATAAGATCCACGAAGGCCAACACACATTTTAAAGTGGTCATACTAACCATTAAGGAATTAAAGACCTTGGGACTCTATTTAACCACATCAATGGGTACTGAAATAGAAGAAGCCCTTTAAAGATGTTATAGGGATGGGAAACAAAAAGAAGGCAGTATGTCAACGGAGGATTTCCCACAGAGATTCTAATAAAAGTTCCCTCGTTCAATGAAAAGAACAAGCAGGGGCATTGTGGTGGTGGGGAAAGATCCTCTGGGGAAGTTTATCTGAGAGTTTTCCCCCTGAAGTTTTTACTAACTCACAAAACATTCTTCTCACAAGAAGTAGATGTTATTGTTCTTTGGCCCTCCAGAAAATCAACAAACAAAACACACTGAACATCTCAGAAAATGTTCCATGAGACCGATTCTTGAATATTCATGATATTCACTTTTTCTTTGACTGGACCACTTCCAATTCTTTGTATCCATTTGCCCTTTTGATGAATTTCATTGGCATGTAATTCACATATCATACAATTTGATTGTTCCATCATATTAAGAGTTGTACAATCACCACAGTCAATTTCAGAACACTTTCTTCTTATACTCATTGTTGTTAGCTCCCTGTTTCCCCCAACCACCCCTGCTAAGCCCCTCAAAAGCTGTCAGAGTCCATGCTACCATATATACTCGTGTATAACCGAGCTTTTCAGCACATTTTTAATGCAGTTTTTGTGGTCAAATTAGGTGCCTTGGCTGATATTCGGGTCAGTTTATACTTGAGTATATATGGTAATAGTGACCCTATAGTACCGGATAGAACTGTCCTTTGGATTTCTGAGACCATGGCCCTTCATGGAAGTAGAAAGCCCCATCTTTCTCTTGGAGTGGTTTTGAACTGCTAACTTCGTGAATTGCAGCCCAAGTAACCATTATGCAGTTACTGTCTCTATAGATTTACCTATCTTGGATTTTATATATAAAAAAATCATACAAAACACCAACAGAAAACAAACAAGGACAGCCAATAGCAATAACCAAACACAACAGAGAATAAGCAATTTAAAAGAAAGCAGAAAATATTAAAAGCTGAAAAAATTTTTAAATGGTTCAAAAGGGAGATCAAAT